CGAGGGAAGAGGAGAGGAGGAGATGAGCGGGAAGAGGAAGGGCGGCGTGGGGGAGAGGAGGCGGCTGAGGGGGAGGCTACTGGGACGGGAGGCGACGGCGAGGGTTTCTCCATGGCAGCGTTTTCTATTTATACCCCTACACATAAAAAGACTAAAATGCCCTTGGCGGGGCACAAAATTTACAAGTGCTGGCACGAAGCGATTTAAAGGCTACGTGGCTGGCTTCGTTGTGCCTAGGAGTTCTTCAGGGTTTATATGTTCTATGTTGACTTTAAGAGAAATTGTCGTTTATCTTCGGTTCATTTGGATATCTACTACTCAGTTCAACTTGATTTTAACTATATAACAATAAAGTGGTCCAAAAAAATTTAAAATCTCTTACAAGTGAAGACCATAAATAGGTCCATTATTGTTCAATTAAAAATGATACCAAAACAAGTTACATAGGTATGCAAATAGAAAATAAGTTAATGAATACTTCTTTTTGTAAAATGACATCAACAAAATATGGATTAGCTTTACAAAGAAAAGTTGACCTTTCCATCCCTATCGCAGATTCACACGGGACATGATGAAATACTACTGGATATCAACCGGTGTCACATAAAAACACAACACTCATGTAGAACCAAACTGGAAAGATGAAAATGGAACAACAGCTTCATTCCTCTGATAAACCTGTAAAACATACTAATCTATACCAATACAAAAAGACCCAAAGAGACAGATCCAACTGATCTCGGCCATCAAACTAAATCAATCCAACGACCTAGACTGCTTCAATGGCGAGCGTTCAACGTGTTCAACATGCAATTAATATCATACCAAATATTGCACTAATCATAGAATTAAATACAAAAATAATAATATACCTAATATCTGCGTGTAATTAATATATTGCCTAAATATTAACGTGCGTTGCACGTGCTCATTTACTAGTACTAATAAGTAGGCATAATCAAATTAGTCCCTGTAGAAACTCGTACTTCACCTGCGCTGTACATATCCACAACCGTCACAGTAAAGAACATACGGACATAATAATCTTACATGATACTATACGAAATTTTGACTTTCATTTAGCTCACAAGATGGCAACATCATGTCTAATTTCGTTACTCCTATTCAAGCAACACGTGGCTAGAAGAAGTCCTGATGTGCAGCAGTATGCAGAATTTCTGATGGGAAATGCGAAACATAAAGGCCTCCTTTGGTTCATAGGATAGGAATAATATAGAAATAGGAAAATTATAGGAAGTGAGATGACATGCATCTCAAATCCTATAAAGAAAGAGATGTCATTTGATGTATAGGATAGGATTTTTTCCATTGAGTCTAGGCTAATGTTTTTTTCCCTTTAAAATGTGAAGGATTAATTCCTATCCTACGTAGGAATAGGAATCCATTCCTATAAACCAAAGGGCTTCAAAGAAATTTTTCCTACGAAATTCCTATTCTTTGCAATTCCTACAATATTCCTATGAACCAAAGGAGGCCAAAGTATGGAT